GAAGAGCTGAGGTCATCCGAAGACGCTCTTTGTGAAGAAGCATCCCATCGAGCTCAAGTTGTGAAGAGCTCAGAGGACTTGGAGGCCAGATTGAAAGAGACTCTACAAGGAAAGGAGGATGCTGAGAAGAGTCTGGCAGTAGAGTGCTCGGCTTTTGAGGAGGAGGTCAGTGCAAAGTGGAAGTTGCAAGAGCAGCTGCAGCAGGAGAGGAAAGATGCGGAAGATGTCAAGATATAGATGTTCCAAAAAGGGTAGGACCTGGGCAGTTCGTTTTTGGATGGTACCCGATGTGTTTTTGCGCCAAACCAACGATGGACGGAGTTTGATGCAGGTGCAACCTCCCTGGCTTTGCGGATCAGGTGATGCTTTACTTCTCCCAAACCGGGTGAATCCCCTTCAGCGGTGAATATATGTCTTATAAACATGTTCCCAGCTCCTGGGAGCCTAGGAGCCGCCTCCAAGACAACCCACCCGAGTTTGCCCTTCTTCCATGCACTCGTCACCATTCGTGCACCTCTCGACGAACTCACACCTCTCGACGGATCCAGACCCAGTCGTCGGATCATGTGGATCAACCATCACGGACATCCGCGGTTCATCGCTCGCCGATCGGGCAGTGCGCCCCGTTGGTCGCACGGCCGCCCCGCGACGTCCGAGGAGCAGAGCTTGAAAGAGCAACATCGCTTGGAAGGTCTGAAGCTGTCAGCGCGACAGGAGGAGCTGGAGAAGACGGAGGAGATGCAAAGCAGAAGAGGTGTGGAAAGAGAGAAGAAGATCTCGGAATTGGAAGCAACGCTGCAAGCAAAAGGTGAACGTTGCCTCCAAACAGAGCAGGAGCTCCACGAATCGGCTCGTGAGCTACAAGAAGCAGCAGAATCTTGGCAGAGCTCGAGGCGTGAATGCTCGGAAAGAGAGGCCCAATCAGAAGCCAAAGCAGGCGAGCTATGGTCGGAAATGGGCGAATTGCGACGTGAGCTGAAGGCCGAGCAGCTGAAATGGCAGGGGGAGCAGAGGGCTTACCAGGACCAAGCTGAGCGGCAGAGGCATCAACTTTCCGTGTGTGAGGCTTCGATGCAGCAGGAGATGCAGAGAAGAGAAGATCAAGTGGAGGTGGATCTTGTTTGCCTTAAGGTAGAATCTTGAGTGTATTTCAATCCCCCAAGCCTGAAGAGGTTTTTTAAATCCAAACGGGAGGGTTGTACATCGATGTGATTTTTCCCGTGAGGTTTCAGTTTTACCTTTGGCCTTTCGAACAATCGCCTTCTTGGAATTCGACCCTCTATCCAACCAAAACTAAAGTCAAGTGGAACATGGCCCTGTGGAAGACAACTTTCTTCCACAAATATGGTCTTTTTTCTACCACTTAATTGACATGAAAGAATAGCACAGAAATCACTTTTTTTTTTGGTTCCTTCAAAATTCCTGCCACATCCAGGTTAGCCAGGCGCAGTTTCGACAGCTTCGCGAACAGTGGCGTTCTGAACGCTGCTCCTTGCGCGGGCAGCTTCGACATGCCTCTGAAGAGCTTCGGGAGAGTTGCGCCAGGCTGTGTGCCCTTCAGGAGCAGCTCGCTTCCGAAGAAGCTCAGCTCGCTGAGATGCAGAGCAAGTTTCAGCATATCAGTCAGACCTGCGAGGCTCAGGATCAGATGCTGAGTGGCGGCTTGCGTCGTGCCCTCGAGGAACAAGGACAAGCTGCCCTCGCATATCATCAGAAATTCCAAGCTAAAGAGCGCCAACAGCAGGAGATCCAATCGAGAAGGCAAAAAGAATGGATGCAGTTGAAGTTGGTTGAAGAGCAGCAAGTGAAGCAGCTGAAATTGCAGCTGCAGCACAGTGAGAAGGCTTGCAGAATGAGAGAAGAGGAGCTGGAGCAACAGGAGGAGCAGAGAAGAAACTTTGAAGAAGAAGTCTTGCAACATCGCTTGCTGTGTGACCAACGAATGGAGGAATGTGAGGAGGGCCTGCAACTTGAGATGGCTCAAGTGCGAGAACAGACATTGATCGAAGCCAGACGGCGACAAGAATTTGCAGCAGAGAAGCAAGAACTCTTGAACGAGCTGGCGGTCGTTCGAAGTACCGTTGAGGCGCAACAGCGAAGAGAAGAGAAACATCAGGAAGCTTGGGAGGCACAACAGGCTCTTCATGAAAGTCTGATAAGTCGTTACGAGAAGGCCTTCGCCTCAATGAAGAGGAAGTTCCAGCGTGATAAGGCCCATCTTCAAGCACGCCACGAGAAAGAGAGTGAGGACCGGCTTGTTTTTTCTTTTAATTTTTTTTTGAAGCTTATAGGCTCTTAGGCTATACAAGATGGGTATACAAGACATAGACCAGACCACTACTAGGCCGCCTGGTTCCTTCTGGAGTCCCATTCAGCGACGAGCAGCGACCTTGGACGATCAGGGTAGCGTCCGATCGCTCCGTTCGAGTCGCGATGCCCTTTGGTTCCGAACGTAGCGAACCTTGCTCCCAGTAGGAAGGCCAGGAGCCCCGGTCGTGGCGTCCGATCGCTCCAAGTAGTAAGGCCAGGAGCCCCGATCGTATATTCTGCTTTCTAGGGGCTTTTGTGGTTGTCACCGTTGTCACCCCATCGACTGAAAAAGGAGTCGGCGGCCGATTGGCTGCAGCTGCATTCGCTCATCAAGCCTTTGATTTGTGACCAAGAGGCCGCGGCCCAGCTGGTGACACGAGAGGTGGCGGCGCAGACCGGCCGAGTCCTTTTTCAGCGTTTCTGTGACATGAAAGCTGAGATGAAAGAGCTTCAGATTCTCGGGCTGCACCGCGCAAGCTGAAGGACCGAAATAGATATGTTCTTCATGGTTTTTCCGTGAGAAGTTGGTGGTTTGTATATTGGTTTCTTCTCAGCTTTCCGAGCTGAGCAGATCCAAGGATTGAAGAACTCAGTTCCCAACGTACCGTGGTCCGCGAGAGCAAGAAGTTGCTCCCTGGCGAGGGAATTGGCACTGGTGCTGCAAGCTTCGGGGAGACACTTGGATTCACGGATCGGAATCTGTTGATTTCCCGGTTCCTGGGTGAAGATTCTTCTGAGAATTGATCGGAATGATGGGAATGTGTGTGTTTGTTATTTTTTTTGGTCCCCCGGGTCCTGGACAGTGAATCTAAGGAAAGATGCTGGCAAAAGCCGAGGTTGTTGTTTGACATACCTGGATCTCGCGATGCCCCACGTCCAAGTGGGAGATCCTTCGAATTCTGCACAGTCAAGCCTCCTCTCGCGTCAATGCGAAAGCTGAATGTGCATCCAGATCGAGCTAAACAAGCTTGATTGCCTAAGCCAGGTGGCCAATGTGCGCCCTGAACAAAAGTCGTCCATCGCCTGTCGTTGTCCATTGCATCCTCGCCCGTAGCCGGCCGGAGAGCCGGGTCCTCCCAGGCCTCACTTGAGAGCAGCGGCTGAAGCTGGGGACCAAGAGCTTCGACCGTCTTTTCCACGATCAGCCGGAGGCGAGGACGGGACCGAGCGAAGCGAAGGCGAGCGATTTCAAGGCGAAGGCGAAGGCGCAGCCAGCTTTGCCTGGGTGGCTGTGGGTGCGTGGTGAGTAGGTTTTGGAGTGCAAGCTTCGACAGGGCGTGGTGAGTGGTGTGTTGGAGTGGTGGCCAGGCGCTGGCGAAGTGGGAGGGTACTTCAGGAACGCTTCAGGAGCTTCAGCAACGCTCTGAATGATACGCAAGGCACTCATCAGTTGACCAATCCCGACTTGATGAAGCCACGAGCCCCGAAGTTGTCAACATGAGTCTATAGATTTATAGAGAAAAGATTCAGAGATTACATGACTTCACGAGGTCTTCCGACATAAAGGGCTTAACTATACTTTTGGATTTGGATTCGGAAACACGTCTGAAGTCACTCCTGCAGATCTCCAATTATTTCAAGACCTCCAACATGCGCTTGGCCTTCATCGTGGGCAAAGCCTTGGCAACCTTGGCGAATCAGTGGTGGCAGTAGGTGATATCATGTCAATGTACCTTGGGATTCCGACAACCAAAGAACTATATTGTTTAAGATATTATTGGACTCTACAACCAGGTCAGCCGGGACAGTCCAAGGAACACTACACTCCTTGAAATAATCATGCAGTGGAGTTCACCACAAGTTGGGTTTTCGATTTTCATTGGTCCTCCTTTCGTCTTCGGGGCCGTTTGCCATCCACGTTGGGCCCATTCTCTCAGAAAGTGTATTACGGTGACGCTGCAGTGATCGAAGCCATCGCCTCCAACCTGAAAGCTATAGCCTCCAACCTAATAGCGATGGCCTCCAACCTACTAATGCATTTTTTGCACAACTGTTCCAAAGGCGAGGGAGCCAGAAGTGCTGTTGAAAAGGGGAGTAATTATGTCCTGACCAAGCAGATCAAATCGCGAAAGACCGACATTAGTAGCAGCATAGATAGCATACGAGCCCATCCAAATCCAGACTTTCCTTTTGGGCTTTGGATGACCCCATATTCTATCTATAAAGACATTAGGATGACTAATGGATGACTATAATAATAGTATAATTCTATATATACAACTAGCTGGTGCCTCAGGAGGGTGCGATCTATCAATATTACAATTGTTTTTAATCAGGGAGCTGTTTGTAGCTACAGGAAGTTCCCCACCCCTTGCTAGATAAGTTGTTCTTTGCTCAAGTTCCATCTCATGGGCTTCTTAAGTCCTCCACCCCAATAGCAATGGCCTCCACCCCAATAGCACTGGCCTCCAACCTAAGAGCACTGGCCTCCAACCTAATAGCGATGGCCTCCAACCTTAGATTAGAGCGAAGACCTCCAACCTAATAGCCACGGCCTCCAACCTAATAGCCACGGCCTCCAACCTAATAGCCACGGCCTCTAGTAGCTTTTCTCGTTTCCCTTTCTTCTTAAGTTCATGGCCCCAGGATGTCGGACACCGAGGATTTTTCGGCGCGGCTCTTTGACGAGCCTGCGCTCATGGTCGACGAGATGACTCAGCTGGGGCTGAAACACATCATGTTTCAGGCGTTCTGCTTTCCGGATCGGGGCCACCGTGTTCAGTTCTTGGTGTTCCAAAAAGACGGCCCTTCCAAATCTGCCGAAAGCGGTGACCCATCCGTGCGGATCGGCTGGTTATCGGGTGATGCTTCGTTCTGGGGCGAGGCTTCGTGGAATCCGGACACATCGCCGGGCACATCGCCTAAACCGTGTCATTTTTGGAGCATCCAACTCCGCATGCAACTTGGACAACAACGATGGACACCATGGCTCTGGGCGAAAACACACACCGAGGCTCTGCGAACTGCTAAGTGCTAAAAATTCATGCAAGTGCTGGTGAGGACGAAGATGGCGTCAGATATGTACAGTATATATTCAACCTTTACTTGGGATGATTGAACCCAGCAGAACACGTATTTTTCAAGTGAGTTGAAACCACCAACCAGTGACTGATAGAAGAACTTCTGCACCACCTTGCTCTATCGATCATAGATCTATCTCACCCATGGCCGGATTTCTTGAATCATCAGTCATACCCTCTTGCGGGCGTCTTCCACTGCCGATGTTCCCTCCAAAACTGGGAAGAGCAGCTCTGCTCATTCTGCTCCAGGCACAATCGCAGTTCTTCCAACCCTGGGTCTCTGCGTTGATGGCAGAGATTCAGCAGATCACAGCGGATGAAGAGGCCCCGAAGAGAGGGCCGGGCAACAGGACGACCGGACAGACCGGACCCAGGTCCAAGGGTTCTGACATACCTACGTAGGTCTTCCTGTGCAGCAACCCACTGCCACATCTATGAAAGATGAATCAGTGGGTTCAATCATTCCAAGTCAAACTTGAAGTTCATGGGTGTGTATTCACATAGGGAGACCTCTCAGTTCGACCCCCCTGGAAGAAGGTAATTAGACCAGTCCTAATGTTAACTGTCATCGAATCGCCAAAACCGATGACAAAGCTTCAAATGCCTAAAGTTCTCTTCATGTTTGAAGCACGGAAATCTGCTTCACCCTCAAAGTGCGGGGCAAACCATGAGTCCTGGGCGTTGCACACATGCCTGTATGCTGGAGCCCAGTGCTGAAGCTCGGGCTCGGAGCTCGGGGACCTGCCCTGCGAATGCACGAAGATGAACATGAGCGTCACTTCCCCCAGTAGCTTCTTGTTACTACTGCCTCCAACCTAATAGCTTCTAGCTTCTAGCCACTAGTAGCTTCTGGTTCCTGGTAGCGATGGCCTCCAACCTACTGGCGATGGCCTCCACCTAATCGCGTCCTTGCTACTATATAGTAGCTTCTTCTTCCAGACATCGTCCAGACATCGTCCATGAATCCGGTGAGCTACTCCAGGAGTCGCATGGAGTTGGGTGGTTTTGGCTCTTGTCCTCAAGATCCAGGGGCCGTTTTTCTGTGACGGTGGCACCGGTCGACTGTTCCACCCTGCCAGGTGGTCCAGGGCATGAACTATGCCTTGTGCGTGATTGGCAGCATCATCGCTCAAGCGGTGGAAACCGGTAGCACTCCAGTCTTGCAGGTGCGCGTGTCCAACGGTCCTTCTTTTCGCCTCTTTGGAGGGCGGCGTACGTGGCGGTACGCGCGGAGCGTGGGCCGAGACCTCGAGGTCCTCGGTGGAGGATCGGGTGGGTTGGAAAAGCACGGTCTGAGGGTCACACGAAGTTGTTTTGATTCGAGAACCAGGACCTGATTCTACAGGAAATCAGTATCCCTTTTTGGGGATCCAGTTGTAGCGAACCTCAGGTACGGTGAGCAGGGAGACTATTTATGTAGGCGCCAGGAGGGCCCAGTCGTGCCTTCTGAGAAGGTATGTGGATCCCTAGGGTATAGGTAATAAGTTCTATACCAGGACCTGATTCTACAGGTCATCAATGGTGCATGACTATAGGTTTGGGGCATCGCTGGACGACAGGAACTAACTCTTATCTCCGGGTTTGGTCCGTGTGATGCTTCGAGGCAGGGTTTCACCCCTGTCTTGTGCAACCCAGGTCTTGTCGTCTAGGGGGGCTCGACTGAGGGGCTCGGCTAAAGCTCAGATCTCCTGATGAGAAAGATTGCACCACGGAAAGGGTGGTTTCCGGACACCCTTGACGATGTATTTTCCATCCAATAACCACCCCTTCCGTGGTGCTGGTACACTTGTTGTAAGACACAAAGTATACGTAGAAAGACTTCATTTTGTCTGACCGGGCATGCTTCTTCTTGCTCCAAAAAAATCCGCCAGGCGATTGTGAATGACGATGTGAAGGCTCGTCACGACGGCCCCCCCCAAGTCGCGGTTGTCTTCGACTGTCTTCGTCGCCCAGTTTCGCGGGGCACCCGTCCACGAGGAACATGAAGAAGGCTGAAGGGAGAAGATCTACCCTCACTTGGTTTAGACGTAAGAGTTTGCAGACCTTGAGCAAGAAGAACCATGGAATTTCAGAAGACGAGCTTCCTCTAGGTGGCGCCTCCCATGACACTTCCAACTTGTTTTTTTTTGGGGGGTGGCCATCGGTTTGACATTGCATTTTTCTTAGCTGTCCCATCCAAGTGACTTTAAATTCTTACAATATATATTGTGACGAACCGGGTGGATACCTACCCCCGTTGGATAAAGTCGAGTTCCGCAACTGCGCAGGATTCCGCAACTAGGATTCCGCAACTGTTTGGTCGGATTCCGCAACTGGGATTCCGCAACTAGGATTCCGAAACTAGGATTCCGCAACTAGGATTCCGCAACTAGGATTCCGCAACTAGGATTTCGCAACTAGGATTTCGAAACTAGGATTCCGCAACTGTCAAGATTCCGCAACTAGGATTCCGCAACTAGGATTCTGCAACTGGGATTCCGCAACTGGCGTTCCGCAACTAGGATTCCGCAACACTGTGGACTCCCTCACTAGGATTCCGCAACTTTGTGAATGATGAGGGGGTTGGCGTGATGTCGAGATCACACGATGGGGACAAGGGGGGGTTGGGGGGTGGGGGGTTGGGTGGGGGGCTAATGACGTTGGTTTGGATGTGCTTCGAAGGTGATGTCACAGGCACACACGCTGTCGCATGATGTGGAGATCACCAGTTGCAAGTTTCAGAAGGCAAGTTGCAGAATCTGACTTTCCGGTTTCAGAATACCAGTTGCAGAATCTGCCAGTTTCAGAATACAAGTTTCAGGTTCCCAGTTTCAGAATCCTAGTTTCAGAACCCCAGTTTCAGAATCCTAGTTTCAGAACCCCAGTTTCAGAATACCAGTTTCAGAATCCAAGTTTCAGAACCCTAGTTTCAGAACCCCAGTTTCAGAACCCTAGTTTCAGAATCCGACCGATTAGTTTCCGAATCCGGCTCTAACCTACTCCCGTTCGCCTTCCGTTCGACAATTAAAAGAATGGTCGATCTGGGTTTTGTCGTGTTTCCATCCACAAAACGTGTTTAAAAACAATGGTCGTTGGACTTTTGGGGTTTTCGTACTAAACCGACTCCTGTCCCGCAACGGCAGTAGTGGAAACTGTTCTGGTTCCATGGTTTTTTCTTCCCTTACGAAGCCCCCCTGCGGATAAGAGACAGGGAGTGACACAGGGGACCTTGGTTGAACAGCAAATGAACAGAACAGACTACAAGGGACATGGTCTTGGGTTTCCAGCTCTTGATCCGCACCCATTGCTGGGTGTCTCGAATGCAGGAGGCTTCCTTTCAACGAGGAGGCTTCTTCTTTGGTACACAAGAGGTTCGATTGATTAGAATCATACCATGACAAAAACGACATGTGTCAGTTTGTTGACACATGTCGTGCATGATGACACATCCTTGCGAACTGAGGCAACTGAGGCAACATCCATCTACCTTAAGAATGAAACATCCATTGAAATCCCGAAGTCCTTCAGATTGAGCAGGACTAGGCCTACCATGTCATTTTTTCCTCGTCAAAACCGGTTCCTCGTTGACTGTGACGTTCGTTTCCGCACAGTTCAGGAGTTCTTGGTGTCCTTGTTCTGAAGCTAAGTTCTGGGCACGATCCTTACACTCCGCCGAACACATCACATGGAAGTGGAACATGTTCCCTTAGAAGACGACTTTCCTTTACAAAGCAAGGGTTTTCCACTTCCATGTCAGTGAGTAGGAGTGGTACCATTCCTTATTTACTAACTGTTAGACATCCCTCCTCAGCTTATCACTGTGCTAAGCATGCTTGGCGTCAGTTCCTAACAGCGGAATGTCTCTTTCTGGACACCCAAGCAGAAACAGTTCTGGTTGTTCCCAACACCACCCACTGGGGGGTGGTTCAAAAAGCCCCCCCTGGCTATGTATTTGCCAATATTTTCCATCCAAGAACAACCCTTTGGGTGGTGCTGGTCCAATATGTTAATTGAGATCCTTTACATCAGGAAGCGGCTCACACTGGGGAATTCCATCCAGAACTGTCTTTGGTAGTAACAAGAAGCTACGATCGGGGCTCCTGGCCGTACTACTATAGGAGCAAGGACGCCACGATCGGGGCTCCTGGCATCACTACTAGGAGCATTCTTGTTGGGACTGGATCTCCAATGCCCGACTCCTCCCCCCCCGCCATTCAGGCCCTGAAGTCCGCGTTACGCGCCACACCACGAGCCGAGCGGGCGGAAGCTGTGCTCGGCCGCGCGTAACGGCCCGTCAAGCATAGGGCTATGGCTATGGCAAAGGTTCATAGTCTGAACCAGGAGCCCTACATCCTGGTAGGTTGACCTTACTGGTCTATTCTACCTGTTCCATCTGTCAATGGTCAAGTACCACGGTTCCCCTAGTGCCATGACGCACTTAAACCAAGCAAAGCCTTAGTGCCATGAGCTACTAACTAGGAGCTGCCGAACCTGGAGGGTGGGGATGCCCAGAACATCCACTCACTTAGGAAGTAAAAACACATTCCTTTCGAACTGCTGAAAAAAAGAACTGTTTGCCGGCAGCCATTGTCAGCCAGGCCACATCCAGCACAGCATGCCACATCCTGCTGGGGTGCGCAAGCTGTTGGGGGAAACTGTTCTTTCAAAACTCTTGAGGGCTATGCTCCACCCGACCAGGTTCTGTACTCCACCGCCCAGACCGTATGAAGACAAAGATCGGATGGGGATAGAAGATGATAGAAGTATAGTTTCGTTTTACCCAGTGTCTATCGGCATTCCATGTTTTGGTGCCATAGCCTTAGCCAATGAACGTCTGGACATCGTGGTCCTGTCGAGTCGCTCGAAGCCGGACGCTGCTGTTTTAAGATCTTCGGGCGCTGCAGGTGTGATGTGAAAAGGAGTTCAGGGACCTCAACAACACAAAAGGAGTATGAAATATAGCTATGAACATGTTTGTGCTCTTCCTGCTTTTCAAAGTGACCTTTTCAGCCTTTTTGGAGTCTTTCATTTAGTCACCTTTTCAGGCCGTGACCGAAAAACTAGTGTTCCGCACGGGGCAAAGAGCATCCTCGGGAGGGTCTCAGACCTTTCTTACTCCAGTGAATAAGAAACTGAAGCTCTGTCTTTCTTTCTTAAAAGGACACATGCTAGCTCAGTCGTTGCCGTTCAAGGTCTTTGAACTCTGTTTTGCCATCGGTTGTACAGACATGGGGAGGCGCCATCGCAGAGCAGCCTGACAAGAACGGAAAGCCTGCTAAATCTAGAAGATGCTCTGGAACGGCAAACATGCTGGCCGCCCTTCACTTGTCCAATGATACAGGAACCCAAGCTGTTTTCGACTTGGTTTGAGTCGCAGATTTGAGTTGCATGAGGTGTCACTACACCAATCACTATACATCATACTATAGCTGTTTATGGCACAAGACACGCATGCTTCAACACTGCAACATTAATGCTCCGATGATCAATTCATTTCGTTTGTCGATATCTCCATAGGGCTGTTGGTCAACCTGACTTGGAAATTCCCTACGAAATGTAAACACATGGAGTTTCTTAGCTCGACACCGCCCACCGGTGGTTTCTGTTGGTTTTCTCTTCTGAAAGAAATGGTTTCTGCTGGGATTCCTGGCTAAGGTTTTTCGACGACAGGACTAGGTCAGTCAAACTCCTTTTAAGGTCTTTGAAGACTAGGCCCTGGGATTTGAACCACCATTGATTATTGATTTGAAATGACTTGAACAACAAAGGTCCTTAGACCTCCAGGGTTTCCGTCTGTTCCGTGAAGAAGAACCACGTCCGTTCGCTCCGAGCGTTTTCGTCCGTTCTCCGAGCAAAAGGAAATGGACCGCTGGACCGATGGATGGGGCGGAAAGACCTGTGCTTCAGAAGAAACATGGGCTTCTGTCGCTAGCCATTACGTTCGTACCAAGAGAGGTCAGGTGACCTTATTATAGGACCCGTCACCTGGGGTACCGAACTAGGATAGCCTAGTTCGGGTTCTTCGACCTCTGTTCGTAGCTTCTTGGTGACTAGTAGCGATGGGCTCCAACCCTTCTCATAGCGATCCAGAAACAAACCGAAGCCTCCGACTCGCTGCGACTGAGCGGACCCCACTGGACCCGCGCTTCGCCGACGACGCACGGTTTAGATCATTCACATCGAACACATCACCGTACCTGAGGTTCGGTACGACTGGATCCCTGGGGTTGGATCCCTAGGTAAGATGGATGGGCTCCGATGGCCATCTTGGAAAAGACCTTCTTAGGTGCTGAACAGTCGATGACGGCGCCGAGCGACTCCACCCGATCGGTCGAGAGTCTAGCGCTTCCGTGACGAGAAGAACGAAGAAAACAACGATCGGTCTAGTTGCGAACGGTGAACAAAAACACCAGACGTTGGGTTCGAACGCTCCGTTCGTAGCGATACCCTTTGTTACCAGGTGAAAAAATACATGAACAAAAACCATTTGTTAACCATCCATGAGTGTGCACGCCGGATTCGTGCCCACCCTCCGAGAAGTCCTCTGGTGAGAACATGCAAAGGATCGGTAGCACATGACCCAAAAATGACACCATGGTATCCATGCTGCACCATTGCAAACACTTCTCATTTTTCCTTTCGCGACTGGAGCACGAGTTCTTGGTGAAGAACTTCTCCAGGAAAACACACATCTAAACACACATCTAAACACTCAACACTGATATCACTTCTCCAAACACCCGATATCTAAGTTTGAGTGTTTAGACGTCTTATCACTTCTCCAAAGACAATGTTTTATTGCAAAACACTTTCTTAACTAACAAAGCACCCCTCTTCCTCAGCTCCTTGAGAACGGCGCATCACAACGGTGCATTTTTCTGCCCGCCCGCCATCCGTATCGTTTCTCGAGGTCAGCGAGTCCAGCGCCGCGTGGGCGACCCTGGAGGAAACGGAGCATGAAGAAACGGTCCGTTTTCTAAGGAAGGATTTGATCAGTTGAAGAAGAACATGCAATTTGTTCCAAGGAACTGAGGCTTTTGGCTTCTGGTCTTGAGATGTGATTCACGTGTCCGACTTCTTTTCCTTGCAAAAAGGGGTCGCAAGAAGAGTTCCTGCAAGAAGAGTTCGTGCAGTGAGTCGCGACGCGCCAGTCAACATCGTCAACGCACTGAAGATGCCACAAACTCCTTGAATGTTTGGTTACCCGTTCGCTTGCTGTCATTTTTGGTGAAATCCCGGCCACGTGGGCAGACGTTGTCACACAATCAATGAGTCCTCGAAGTGGTCCCTCTAAGAGACAATGACAAGGACTTGGGACATTTCACTGGAGTTGGGGTCAGAGGCCACCAGAGGCCCCCCTGCCGGATACAACAACACTTTTTCAGGACCAGGTTTTACTGCGCTAGACTGGACTTGTATGGATATATACCTGGACCAGGATCCCGGATGTTTAGGACTGGATGGCAGGTATGATCCAGGGACTTGTAGGCTCAGACGGCTCAACTTGTATAGGCTCAGATGGTCAGACGAGCGCACGTCAGCCTACACAGGTCACCACCGAGCGTCTCTTGGCCGAGTGTGCGGGGGGCCCGTCCGCAAGCGCGCCGGTACCTTTGGGTGGTGGGGCGTGTGCAGATGCGAGAGGGGAGTGATATTTGATGCGACTGCAACAGGAACCGAAAGAGCATTTGGAGCATTTGGGGAGTGGCATGGTCTTGAAGAACCTTGCCTTTTGCTGAATGATTTTGAATGTCCTGTTTAACACAGGGCCAAAGGTCAAAACTTCTCCCGGCGTGGGCTAGGCTGGAGTGCTCAACCGGCGTAATGGCATCTGTGGCCGGGCCTCTGGCTGCAGAGTTGCATTAGAGGACCAACTGACCAACTATCTAAGCGAGTCGCTGTCGTGAGATGAAAGCTTATAAGATCGAATCTTGGGATGAGCTAATCCATCCACCCTTTCAGTTGGAGGAGACCGGCTGGCCGAGTGAAGACAGGAGACCCTGTGCTTACCCGGAGCTTGTGCTGAATTCGATCCCCTTTGGCGCTCCACGATGCTCCACGGTTGACTGTACGGATCTACTCACATGTATTCAATATGCCGACCTCATTCCCAAGACCCTATCAAGCACTCACGAAGGGTCTTGTATAGACGGAGATAGTTTGGGCTGGTTGCATGCGTTGGAAAAAAATACCCTATCAAGGAAGTAATCTTCAAAAGTTCTGGTGATGAGTTGGAGGAAGTACATCCAGGTCTATACGTCCGGCCAATTGAAGCAGCACAAGGCGCTGAACAATTACCGAGCATCAGAACACTTTGAGCAAAAATGCATCAAAAGGCCACATACTTAAACCCTGGACCAAACAATGGTGTGCTGCAACCCGTAAATGCAGGACATTCTTTGCCAGGTCCAAATACCAAATTGACAATAACAGGTAAACCTTGCCCACAGAAAGGTTCGACTGCATTCCTGGGACATGATGACTTTACCCGAAGTGAAAGTCGCCTCGATGATTTGTCATACCTGGATCCACTGAAGATAATTCTATTGCTAAGCATAACCTTGGTTGCGCAAGATTGGTCAGATTCCCGACGGAGAAGATGAAGGCATTATCAGTTACACCGCTTGTTTTACGGACCATGGAAACGGCAAAACCTTTGACGAACAAGGTGCACTCATCCTTCGTCGCAACACGCTGCACGCTGTGTCTTTCGCGTCCAGTGTTGGCCGACATCGTCAACCTGGAAAGGCATAGGGACTTGTATTTTGTGTGAAGGCCGTACTTGGACACAGATGCACAACCCGAACCTAGAAGATGCATCACTGGTTGTGCCCTCTACATCTTCAGATTCAGATTAATTAGTGTATTGCCGCCTCGAACGGTGCATCGACATACTTGCGTAATCTCGCCGCCAAACAGCTTATTGTCGTCGTAGTGGCGTCTCTGCAATAGCGTCCTGCCGATTGGAACGTATCGACAGGCGTATTGTTGTGTTGGCGTACAACTTGCACATCCAGCACCAAACGGCGCAGCGTCATGGTGTAATCACACTTGAAGACACAGCTTGCGAACACTCTCAGATATATAAATCCCAACCTCCACCTGGATCTAAGGTGGGAATGATCTGGTTGAAAGCACACCAAGAAAAATACACATCCCCCCCCCAATTCCCAGAGTTGCCATGTGTTCCGGAAGGTTCCCCCGGAAATTCCCCATGCTTTCCTGTGTTCCAACGCCAGGCGGACGCCCCAAAACACCACGACCTGTTTCGACCGCCGCGCGACCCG